TGCTGCCCCGCCGTGCTGCGCCCCGTCTGAGATAAGGGGGGAGAGAAATCAATGAAATATATATTTAAATGCAAAACGGCCCCTTCAAACTGGGACCCATTATGCGTTCGGTGTGAAACGCTATCAACATTTAAAACTTTATTGTCTCCTTTGTACCAAATCCCTGTAAATCTTCCACTAGCCTTTTCTCATTTTCATCTGAAAAGCCTGTTTGGGCTGAATAGACAGCAATCAGCAGCCTCTGGACTTCTCCCGCTCTCTGGAATGTCAATTAAAATGCAGATTTTTTTTCCCCCCTCCCCGATCTCTTGGTGGCTAAAGACTTGAGAAAAACAGGATAGTCCTGGAAAGCAAATGAAAGAAGTTCAAACAATGAAAAAGTACTGAAGCTGCCAGCCGGTTCCCATTAGTCCTTCAGAATTAATGTTTAATAGCTGTGATGCTCAGATTTGCTTGGAGATTGAACTCTGCTGAAGAGCCTTGTTAGATATATATGTGTATATATGTTTTTATAGACGGATGTATATTTCTGCATTTTCTGTCCATACACAAGTCCTCTGTCAGTGGAATCGTGTGCATAAAGCTGTTAGCTTCAAAGCTTCATCTACCTGGATTTTTCTGATGAAGATACTGGGCTTTTAGAGTACTGACCTTTAGTAGCTCTTTGTGGAGGGAAGACCCATATTCACTCAGATTTTGCTATTCCCCGCCTAATTGAGAAAGATGCTGAAAAGTTATACAGTGAGCAATGTATTGATTTGGTTAACATACTCTACAAATCGTACTGTCCCTGGGGAGTGATAAACATCTTATAAACAACAATGCAAGTAGATTAAAAAGAACACTGAGCATTGAATTTAATTAGTGCCACTGCTGAACAAGTACTACTTGTTTGTGTGTGCGAGTGTGTTTAAACTGAAGTACAGCTTGGAGGAATTTGGTTGGGCTCCCAAACCAGTCTGCTTTCCCATGCTTGTCAGTTTGGCAAAGAAAATTTGGGCAGGTATGTGACGAGGTGAAAATTGACTTGATGAGCGAGTGGCAAGGAGAGCCATCAATCATTGGGGGCTGACAACTCCTCCCCAAAGTGTAGGCTGAGAAGAGAGACAGAGTTCCCTTTCAAGGGGAAAAATAAACACTACGTGTGGCTTTCACTGAGTCTGAGACTCCAGGAGGGATTATGGTATTGTAGTCAGGAAGCCAGAATTGTGGAGGCCAAAAAGCATGCTGGGGCTGTGTTCCAAACATTGAGATAGAGGTACATAATTATCCAGCACAGGAGGTCTTTCCAGGGATTCGTCCCCCGGCAACTCTGGCAATTAAACTACGAAAAGAATTTGGTTTCGTTTCATCTTCGCTGGACTCCACTTCTTTTGGGAGAGGGCAACCCTTGAAGGCTGTTTGCTGTCCTGGTGGTGGAGTGCTTTGGCTCCATGGATGGGTGCAGAGCTCTGATTTTTGCGTTGTTGCACCTTCGCAAGCCGGGATTTTGGGTTTGCTGCTGCCCTGTGGGTGAAGAATCCCTTCTTTCTGCCGGCAGATGTTGAGGTGCAGGAGGCAACAAAAATCTTCAGGTGAGGAGACGTGTGGCCAAGGAGCCTTGTGCTCCACTTCAGGCTTTAGGATGAGGATAGGAACCACAAATGTGCTTTCAGTGGGGTTTAGTGTAGCCTGAAAATCTGAAACTGCAGGAATGTCAGTGGAATTAATGCTCTTGGAGTCTGAAATACACACTGGCCTTCTGGTATGTTTTCTTTCTGCAAAACCATGATGGGATTTTGCATTTATCAACACAGACCTTAATCGGAGTTTACAGGATGATTTATGGAAATTAAATCAGCATTACACCCAGGCTGTTAATGAGGGGTTTCTACCCACTTTACAGCTGGATAAACTGAGCTGCAGGGCTGTGGCTGCCAGACAGCGAGGTGGGCAGTGGAGCTGGGGGGTGGCATCCAGGGGGGTTTGCTCCATCCTGCTCACACGCAGACTGGTCCCAAAGACAGAGCTCTCTTCAGCTCTACACCTGCTCTGTGCTTATTTAGAGAAGGGCTGGGCAAGCTCTTGGCAAATGTTTGTGCAGTGGTCTGGTGGTGTTTTCACTGGAAATTTAATGGTAGTTGCTAGCTTGTGGTCTGGGGTGCTGGAGCCAGGCTGAAATCTTTACAGGAGGGACAGGGCTTTGAGGTGATACCAACCGAGTTGGGAAAAGCTTGCCCTGAAGTAGCAGGGATTCACCTTGTATTGTTTTCCTCAAGTGACTTCTTCATGCTATCCAAAACCTGTTTCTAGAAGTTACTGAGTATAGTACCCAAGATAAAAGATGCCTCAACAGCATTTGTGAACTTTGTGGCAGCTAGCACAAGGCTAATAAAAATCAGAATCAACTCTTTAAATGGTTGGCTTTGTAAAAGGAGAATCTGTGTCCCTGTTTCAGCTTGTTGAGGTACCACACCAAATCCCGATGACAAGGAATTTGGAGGAGGTTTATTTATCTCCACACTCCCTTACTTTTTTTTTTTTGTTTTGTTTTTTAATTTTCAAGTGTTGAGGGCAGGAGGGAAAAAGAGGTTTTGTGTTATTTTTTCCCCTTCCAGACAAGCGCTCTCCAAATTTCAGTTGAGTTTCATCACATCTAAGATGAATCATTGACCAGATTAGAACAATTGCTGCAGTTAGTTGTTTTATCCATTTACTGAGGTTTTACTTTTATTTCTGAAGCGGAAAATCAGGTCTAATTTTCTGCTTGAGCTGTTTAATCACCCTGTGAGGAGGATGCTCTTCTGACCCTCACCTGGCATCATCTCAGTGTGGAGGCAACAGGGTCCCCTGAAGGGAGTGCCAGTTCCTTTGGTGCCACTTCTCTGTCAGACCATGGCTGGATTACCACTTAAATCCATCCATTTAAATTCATTTTATTATGAATAAGGTAGACTTTTTTTTTCCCCCACCTCCGAAAAATATATTTCAATAAGCATCATTGAGAGACTGAGCAAAGAAAGTTTTGTGCACATAGCTTGGCATGTATGGATGGAAAGTGGTGCTGGGCAGGTCTCCTATGAAATAGCAACCTATACCATATTTTATCCAGATTTTAATTGCCTGTAATGCAGCGGAGCAAACCAATATCACTGCAAAGACTTGAGCCTTTCACCTGCCCAGGACTCAGGGGCTTCCAAAGGACACTAAACTGAGTCAGAAGAAGGTACCTCCATTGGGGAGCTGGAAGTCCTGAGCTGAAATAGTCTTGCAGATTTTTCCAAGTCTAAGCAGTTTATTTTTTCTACTGTTTTTCTTGTGGAAAATTACTGAATTCCTGCAAATTCATCTGGCTGCAGAACTGCCTAGGTGAAGGAATGAAAAACAAGGCAAACTTACATAAACCTTCAAACAATAACAAGAATATAATTTGTATAATTGTGGTAATTTTGTAGCATTACAGGTTATGTGCCTGCACATGTGGGTGCCTCTCATTTTTGAAAACCTGTATGTTTTTCTGTCAGTAAAATAGCTCTCAATATGTGCTGAGAAGTGATTTTGTGAAAACAAGGAGGACTTGGTTACGCCTCAGGTGATGATGGAAACTGCTAACAGAAGATGAAAAGTCACTCACTTTTCACATATTCTTGAAGCTGGAAAACTATTTTTCCCATCCTCCTGCTCCCCTCCCTCTCACTTCAGCCCTGTTTGAGGCTTTATGAAGGTTTTTGGTTTGTGTTTGGAGATGTTTTTGCTGACAGTGTTCAATCTCTCTCCTCCCCGCAGCAGCAGCCGTCGTTCCAAGGGAGGAGGCATTACCCTGGCCGAAGGCACAGCTTTCTCTCCATGCTTCTCTAGAGGTGCTCAGATGGGATTAAAGTCCACATGGAGATATGGAAATGGACCAGGAATTTACTCTAAAAAGATGGTCAGCTGGGATTCGGGTTGCCTTATCTGCCTGGTGGTGGTCACCATGGCTGGACTTTCCCTGGCTCGACCTTCATTTAATTTAGTTGTTGAAGACACCACGGTGGAACCCGAAGGTAAATCACTCTCGAATGCTTCATTCCTTAAAAGAACTTAATTTTAAATTCTTGGACATCTGAAATAGAAGTCAAGATCTTTCCATGTGCTCTGGTAAATCTAAGGCAAGGAACAGAGCAGCCCTGGAGAGTTACGGTTTCTGACTTTCCCTGCTCTCGCCCGGGCTGTGTTTGTACAAGCGTGAGTTTGTTTATTCTTGTGCAAGCCAGTGGTGTCAGTGATTTCACTTGGGACTGTCATCACGTTGTATAATCAAAGTGCACAGATGAAAGTTTTCAGGAATGGGTCTTTAAGGAAACCAGTCCGTGGCACTTTGGTGCTGTTGTGTGTTGCTGTCTCAAGGAACGAAGCGGATGAGTGGCTGCTGCTCTTTGGGATTGTCTTAACCTGAGGAGTCCAGAGAAAAATGAATCTTGGTAGTTTTCATTTGTGAATGTTTAGTTTTGCAGGCACTCTGCAAAAATGGTATTGCAGCTTTGTTGGTGTTTGCACTCGGGACAAACTTCCCTGCTGCTGTTAATATCCAGGCACAATGGGTGGTGCAGTGTCTGGATCACCAGTTCTGAAGGTGTGAATGTTGAGATCTCAATAGAAGGGCTGGAGTTTGTTGCTGTGAGAGCAAAGGCCAATCTAGACCTTCACGTGGAAAGAGGTGTTTTGAAAAAATCTCCTATTTTTAGCCTGCACTTGTTGGTATGTTCTTCTTGGTTTGTCTGTTCCTCAAGCTTTGCAAAGTGGTTTTCTTCTCTGGAGAGCTTAGGAGGGGCTGCTTTTTTATTGTTGTGGGCTGATTGTGTTGAAGAATGATTTTGCTGTGTTGTGCTGGATCGTTCCTGCTCTCTGAGCATCTGGGGGAGGAAGTGAGGCTTCTTTCATAAGGTTGTATCTGTCTTTTGGAGGAGTGATCACAGTTCCAATAACTCAGCTGTCAAGCTGATCTAATAGTCCACAGAGCATTTCTGAGCTGGCAAGCTTGCTGCAGAGAGTTTGGCCTTTACACATTCTACTACTCATGTCCATGGACACCGCTTGGTTTTTATTTAATAATTCTTCATGCAAAACTTATTTGTTTCTATCCACTGCCTCTAAAAATAGACGTCACCAGCTAACGCATTTTTAGAATCCACTCCAAGTACATTTTTATTGATGGCAGGGGATGAACTATTTAGAGATGATGAGCCCTCTTCCCTAGCAAACGTTCCTGAAAAAAATTCTCAAAGAATAGCAATATTGTCATCTGTCAGCCACAGAGATGGCTGATAGCAAAAATGCCTTTTTTTTTTTTTCTTTAGAAGGTAACCCGAGATTTAAAAAAGAAAAAAAGCCCAAGTCTTGTTGCCACTTACTGTATGATTTGTTAATTGAACATCTGGTGCCTTTTTGGCTTTTCAAGAGAATGACAAAATCATGAATAATTCTGGTTTCAGACTAGCTTTGTAGTAAGGTCCCCTAGTTTTTGGGGTTAAGTCAGAAATAATGTATTTGAAGACTGGTGAAGTGTTTTACAGGAAGAAAAGTAATACTTTTTGGATGGTGACTGGTAATTTTGTAACTTTTCAGGGAAAGAATAGCTTTTTTTATTTTGGAAAGCACTGTTTGAGTTTGTCTCTTACACACTGAATATGTTGGGGGTGGAATCTGGGTTTTATCAAAGACTAAATTGTTAGGAAAGATTTAAAACTTCTTTCCTGGGCAGGAATGTTACTGATGTGAAACAATTTTAGATGTGAGAACCCAAATCATTACCAGAAACAAGGAAAAGAAATCAGAAAACGCTTCTAAGTTAATAGCATAATAAGCTTTTATGCTGCAGAATACAGGGAATTGTGTGGGATTTATATCTGAGATTTGGGAAATAAAACCTCCTTTATGTATTTCATGAAACCCTTTGATAAGAAAAAACAAACCAAAACACAACCAAGTTTTTACACAATCACCTTCTCTGGGTTCTATCACTGCCACCCACAAGCTCTCCAAGCCCAAACCAAAAAAACCCTTCAAAAGATCTCTTCAAAGACAGAGCAGACTTCTTTTTCAATTTAGTAAATGCCAGAAGGTTTTGGACACAGCTAATTTGGGGGGTCAGGTGCTGCAATAATGTAAATTTTCAGTGGGGGTGCTGGCTGCAGCCATTAGAGCTGTGACATTTCATGCCAGCTGAGGAGGTCGGCAGGGCCGTGACCTTTGGTGACATTTGCTGATCTGCTCCTGAGTCTTCCTTCACGGACATGCCCTGAATTGTCTGCTTTTATTTATTTATTTTTAATACAAGGTGCTTGGATTGTTATTGTTTATTGTCTTAGTGACTCAGACTATTGGAAGTGCTGTACACAACATTAACAGGAATTGAGATTTGTTCCTCTGGGTGTAACAGAGAAAATACCTTTTCTCAGCTATGCGTAACTTTAGGGGCATTTGAAATAATTTTCTTCAGAGTGTCTGACTATGTATAAAAAGTACTGAAGTGTGTGCTTTAGTTCAAGCAGTATTTATCTAGCAGGGCAATCAGCTGGTGGATATGTGCAAGATGTCATGCATTAAGGGGGTGCTGTGCTTTTTGGCTCTTCTCAGTCACTCTTGAGTAAATAAATCTCCCTCTGTGACCATTGGATATCGCTCTGGTCCGAATGAAAGCGTTTACACTGAAAATGCCATCTTGATCCATTGTGAGTGGTAATGTTGGTGCTGGTACTGTGGGCTCCTGAGCGTGGTGGATCTCAGCTGTGGAGCTTTATTCCCCAGCAGTGTTGGCCAGACCCGGGGCTGTTGAGCTGCGTGAGCAGAAACAGGACCTGTAGGACTTCTGTGGGGACTGTCAGCTCTCAGGTTATATCTCACATCAACTGTTTACATACATGTTTTCCATCCTAGGGGAGCAGAGGGACTTTTTCTGCTTTTAAACATTTAGAAACAAGCCTCCCCCAGCGTGCACAAAGGCAGCATTCTCCGAGCCTGTGTGCGCCCAGGCCTTTGATGATAGCCAGCATTTCACGAGGGCTCTGACCGCACACACGGGCTCAAGGCTTACTTTGTGAACTGAATAATTAGTTTAGACAGATATTTGATAAATAGTGAGCTCTCCCTTGACCTCCCCTTGCCCAGGCTGTGGGTTATCATCCTGCTGGGGAGCTAATTTGGTCTCTTACCCTCATGCAATGCCTTGACACCGTCCTTGGAGCACCCACTCGGAGCCCCCGGCCGGTGTGGTGACGACGCGTTTCAATTCTTTTAATTTAGGTCAAATTTCAAAGGATTAATTTAAGCTTTCCACAAGGGACAGCCTATTTCTGTGTCCTGTGGAAAACAGAGTAGTTCAGAGTGGTCCTAAATTTGGGAGGTTCCCAGGAGCAGCAGGGAAGGGGAGAGATCCCCTTTAAGGGGTGATGTGTGCTTATGGTGGAAGTGAATAATGGGTTTTTCTATGGGATTTACTCAGCCATAACCACTTGCTGACACTAAACATCCAAAAATAGGTATGTTCACCACAGCACCTTCCTTTCTGCAAAAATGTTGAGTCATATGAGCAACATACCTTCATTTTTGTGAAAATGTTGGCAGTGCTTAAAGATTAATGTCACCTGTGGTCAGCACTGTCTACTTGGAGATCCTTGTGCAGCTGCTGTGCCCTGCCTGGGTCAGGATGTGGAATTTTGTAAGGTGCTTCCGTGTGTGGAGAAGGGATGCTGTGGTGGTGGGATGTCCCCTGTCCCACTCCCCATCCTGGGCTGTCCCCATGGGTCATCCCCAGCCAGTGCCACCCTTCTGAGAGGTCACAGGGCTGGGGGGACCCTGCACATCCATCATTTTCCTGGGACAGAGCACCTTCATGCTGCTTCTGCTTTGGTAGGAAAAAAATAAAGCAAATGGTTCACCCAGGGTTCCCTTTGGGCTGTTTTATTTTGGCTTTTCCTTTTTCAAACAAGAGCAGCGGCTTTGATATCTGTGAGTTAAATTAAGAATTCAAACCTATTAGTTAAATCAGAGTCGGCTTTATCTTTTTAATTTCTTTTCCTTTTAATTTTATTTCATGGAAGGGCAATTATTAAAGCCCATTATGGAGGAATGTGACATCCCCACAGCTTCGGGTGAGGGCTGGCTGCCCTTTCAGGGATCTGGTTCAGTAAGTTATTTGGCCCAGTACAGGATTTGCTAGCTGAGATTCTGGGGAATTGTACAAGCAGCCAGATTAAATCAGTCTTAATGTGTCCATTCTGTGTTTAAAATCTGTAGCCCTTTAGCAGGGGCATGGTCTTGAGCTTCAAACTAATTGGACATGGGTAGGGTTGTTATTTACAGTCAGTGTTGATGAGACACTGGGAGTTGGTAGTCTCTCAGTGTGGCTACTCTTTTGCAAAGTAGCAGAAATAATTGCATGTTTTAGGCTTATCTGCCATACAGCTGAAGCTTTTTGAAGGAGTATAATAGTTATTAACTTTTGGGAATTTGATTCCTTTAGTGAGGGTTTGGGTTTTTTTTGGTTTTGTTTTTTTTTTTTTTGAGCCAGAAGACTTTCAAAGATGCTGAGTTGTGAGGTTTTTTTAATATTTTTATTCTTTTTTTTAAACCACTTGTATAGATAAAACCCCAAACCAGTGGCCGACTCCAATGAATGCATAGTTTCCTAATATTAAAATAGTTCTTCCTTGGCATGGAAATAGCAACAAGTTTCAGGCCATAGCAACTTTTTTACAGGCAAATTTGAAACTTCTGAAAGCAGAATTTACAATGAAAATGCTGACATCTCCAGTTATGCAAGGTTGTGTATGCATGAGAAGATGGACTATTGTGATGTTTTAATAATAACCATAGCGTAGCCCTTAATGAGCTTATTTCTATATCCAGCTTCCCAGCTTCACTAGAAATGATCTTTAAATGACTTTAAACAAAAACATTCAGAGATTAGTATTTTCTTAAAGTGAGTATTTAGTTTTGGATCGGATGGGAATGCCAGAAAAATACTGAGCTATGTCTTTTTCTGTCATTTATAGAGAAAAGTTCT